TTAGGCAACTTCAGCGGTCATTTTTCTGTGGGTCCTGCATGTCCAGTTCATATAGCAAAACATCATCAAGCAGTTCAGGCAAGAGCAGTTTCTTGGCCCACATGGTTAACCAACTCCATAAATAGCCTCTTCAATGCCCATTATCCTGGGCACCAATCTGTTGTAAGAGGCTGCTAGTTCATTTCCCAGCCACGTGGCAGCTCAGACCTGAAATAATCACACAGAAACTATATTATTTAAAACACTGGTTGGCCAATGACTCTAGCATATTTCTAGTAAGCTCTTACATATCAAATTAACCTATTTCTATTATATTTTATCATGAGGTTTGTGACCTACCGGCAAGGTTCCAGCTGACAGCTTGCGTCTTTCTCCTCTGGTGGCTCCATGGCATCTCACTGGCTCTGCCTTCTTTTTCCCAGCATTTAGTGTAGCTTTCCCCACCTAGCTCTATTTTGCTAAGTCACTGGCAGAAACAGTTTCTTTATTCATTAACCAATAAAAGCAACACATAGATAGAAGGACTTCCTACACCAGAATACCAGCTAAACTGAGTTGTGGACTGGGTGTAGAACCTGCCTAAGAGACAGAAGTATGTCATAATCAACAAAACTAAGAGAAGTTGGATATCTGAAGAGCTCTTTGACATCAGACATGGAAATGCAGAATTTGTAGTTTGTGCTACTGGCTTTCAGTCCTCTGGTCTAGTGTTTCCTTACTGTGCTCATTTTCCTCTCTTTTGGAATGCTAATGTATATTCTGTGCCATTGTATATTGGAAGTATGTGATCTACTTTTCTATTTTTATTTTATAGAGGGTTACATTTAAGAAATTTCCATGAATCTCAGAGACTTTGAATTTTGGACTTTTAAACAGTGTTGAGATTATAAAGGACTATGGGGAATTTTGAAGGTGTACTGGAAGGATTTTTGAATTATGATATGGCTACAAACCTTTGGGAACCATGAAGGGGAATATGGTGGTTTGAATAAAAATTGCCCCAATAGGTTCATATAATTAAATGCTTAGTCATCAGGTAGTGGAACTATTTTAATGGATTAGAAGTATTACAAGTTATGGCCTTGTTGAGGGAAGTGTGTCACTGGGCTTTGAGATTTTAAAAGCCCATGCCCAGCCCAGTGTCTCTCAACTTGGCTTGTGGATCAAGACTAGAACTCTCAGCTAGGCAATAGTTGTTCAGCCTTTAATCCTAGCACTTGGGAGGCAGAGGCAGGCAAATCTCTGAGTTCAAGGCCAGCCCAGTCTACATAGTGGTTCCAGGACAGCCAGGGATACACAGAGAAAACCTGTCTTGAAAAATAAAATTAAATGCTTTCTTTTGTAAGATTTGCTTGATCATGCTTTTCACAGCAATAGAAGAGTGACTAAGACATAGACTCATGTAGGGAGGGCAAGCATCGCACCTAATGTGTGTGTGTGTGTGTCTTGGGGGGAGTTCAGAGTGCCATTGTTGTAGGATATTTTGATTACACTCTGACACTCCCAAGACTAACAATAAAGTTTACCTTGAATCAGGGGGCAGAGCCAGAAACTAGCTGACTAGAATCAGACATAGAGAAGCTAGCATTTTGAATAGAGAAGATGCACAGAAACAAAAGGGTGGGGGCTAGAGTTTAAGCTTACTTTTGGTTCTGAGATGAGGGGAGACATGTCTTTTGTGATATCTATAGACAAAAATGAAGGTCAGCTGGCCATTTCTCAGTTTCTCTGATCTAGCGGGTTTTAACCCCACCATCTGACTTCCAAGTCTTTGTTGGTAAATAGAATGAGAGAGACTTATCTTAAACCTTCATAAACTAGGCCTTGGAACCAGAAGCTCTGCAAGGCTGTGGCCTGTTGTAGGGGGTTTCTGTCCTGCCCAGTTCCCGCAATTGTTAAGTCCCAAAGAAATCACACAGAGGTCTACATTAACTCTAAACTGATTGGCCTATCAGCTCAGGCTTCTTATTAACTCTTATAACTTATATAGCCCATTATTCTTATCTGTGTTAGCCACATGGCTCAGTACTTTTTTCAGCGAGGCAGTCACATCTTGCTTTTTCTGTGGTTGGGCAAGGACTGCAGAGGAATGGGCTTCCTTCTTCCCAGAATTCTCCTGTTCTTATTGACCCACCTCTGCTTCCTGTCTGGTTGTCCCACCTATACTTCCTGCCAGTGTTTATTTTAAATATAATTGACAGAGTACAGACCATGGTCCCACGCCACTTCCCCTCTTTAAAACAAAAACAAACAAACAAACAAAAAAACCCAAGAACATCCATAGTCCATTTTTTGGGAATGTGGGCATAGTATTCCAGGCTACTTCCTTCTGGTTGGGGGCACTGATAATCTTATGGGGACCTAAAGAAAATTTAGAATTATGATCAAGTCCTGACTGGAGTATCCTGTGAGGCTTGATCATCCCAGGCAGCATCTTGAATCTGTTTTGGATGTAGAACTCTGACATCTGGGCCATCTGTTCCTACTGGAGATTTCTCAGGTGGTCTTCCTTGATCAAACCTGATTTTTCTTAACTCAGAATGAATCCACAGCCTCTCATTTCCTGTGGAAACAAAAACAAAACCTCTTTTCCAAAGTAATATATCTTTTGACTTAAATTTTGAAGTCAAGGTATTTTCAAAATAACTTTCTTTGATTAATTCAGCAGTGTTTATAAGCAAATATCTTTTAGCAGCTGTTGCTTCTTCCTCGGCATTTAAACAATTCAAAGAGAACATAATAACATACAGTATCCAGATTCTCTATGTATTTTCCATCTTTATGTGGCTTTATTTTAACCTCCATTTCCTTTGTTTTTACTTTAATTTTTGGCTTTTTGAGACAGGGTTTTCTGTGTATCTTTGTCCTGAAACTCACTCTGTAGACCAGGCTGTCCTTAAACTCACAGAGATCTACCCATTTTTGCCTCCCAAGTGCTGGGATTAAAGGTGTGTACCACCACACCTTGAATTCACAGAGGTCTGCCTGCCTCTGTCTTCCAAGTGTTGGGATTAAAGGAATGTACCACCAAACCCAACTACTCTCTTTATTTTTTGTTTTAAGGACTTCAACCTGTTTCTTTACTCTTCCAAGCTTGCAAGTATTTTTAACACACTGTAAACCATTTAGAAGTTTTCTTCATCTTTGAATCTCTCTTTACTGTATATATCTCTCCCTCTTTTTCTGACCATGTGAGTCTTTAATTTGCTAAGCAGTATGGAGAGGATTAAAGCCATGGCTTTGACGGCTGGATCTAGTCCATTCCTTAGCTTTCTGAGATTCCAGCCTCATGGCTGAGGTACTGGCCAGAGCCATGTTTATTGCCACAACTCTATTGCATTTCAAGGTCCCTGCCACCAACAGAAAGCATGTGGTCAGCTTTTCATCAACACCATTTAAGTGTTTTGTGGCAGGACCTCTTTAAAGAGTTACAAGGTTTTGCAGCTAAAGCTGAGTCAGGAAGCCTCTCTTAAATTAAAGCACTTGCCTCTAGCAAGCTGAGCCCACCTGAGAAAATGCTGCTAGCAATAAAACATGCTTAACTCTATTCTTTTCTGTCTAGAATTACTTCCCAAGCTCTGTCAGGCTTTATGTGGATGCAGTCGCCCCACGTTGGGCACCATTTGTTGCCAGGAGTTTCTGTTCTGCCTGGTTCCCGCAATTGTTAAGTCCCAAAGAAATCACACAGAGGTCTACATTAACTCTAAACTGATTAGCCTGTCAGCTCATGTTTCTTATTAACTCTTATAACTTATATTAAGCCCATTATTCTTGTCTATGTTAGCCACATGGCTCAGTACCTTTTTCAGTGAGGCAGTCACATCTTATTTCTTCTGTGGCTGGGCAAGGACTGCTGAGGAGTCAGCTTCCTCCTTTCCAGAATTCTCCTGTTCTCATTGACCTGCCTCTACTTCCTGTCTGGTTGTCCCACCTATACTTCCTGCCTGGCTACTGGCCAATCAGCATTTATTTAAAATATAATTGACAGAATGCAGACCATGGTCCCATACAAGTGGCCCGAGTGACTAATAGGGCATTGATTGAGTGGTCATGGGACTGCAGATGATAATTAAAATATCAGTAGATATATATAGTACAGCTGCTAAGCCAACAGAAAAACTGCATTTGGTGCTCCAATGCATGACATGACTACACAAATGGAGAAGTCATGCCAGCTGGCACTACCGCAGTCACTGTTTGGGCCTCTCCAAGAGCCATTCCCAGGACTCTGAAAAGTAGGCTTGTGCTTGGAAAATGTGGGTCTTGAGCCCCAATGGTGCTGTTGCTGTGGGAAAACTTAGAAGTCAGCAGATTTGGTGAGACACTTGGGAAGTTCTTAAAGAGAGAGTTAAATAATATTAAAAGAAAAATCTTTTCCATGTTAAGAATCAGGAATATCACAGTGCAGGGAGTTATGATTCTGTATAGTGTTACTATGGGTGGCTTACAAATGGAAAAAAATAAATGAGAGAATGAACCACTTAGCTAAGATTGGCATAATGGTGATTGTAATTATTATCAGTTTGGTAATTCATATTTTTTTTGGATTTTTTTTGAGACAGGGTTTCTCTGTAGTTTTTGGTGCCTGTCCTGGAACTAGCTCTTGTAGACCAGGCTGGCCTCAAACTCACAGAGATCTGCCTGCCTCTGCCTCCCAAGTGCTGGGATTAAAGGCATGCGCCACCACTGCCCAGCTGGTAATTCATACTTTATCCTTAAAAAGTGGTTTGATAATTGTACCAAATATGAAAATTTTACTGATAAAATACAAGTCTTAGAAAGACTACTATTGATAAGATACAAGCTTTAGAAAGCTTACTAATAAAAAAATTAAAAATTTGACAGATAAGATACAAGTCTTAGAAGGACTTACTGTTGATATACAAACTTTAGAAAGACTTACTACTGATAAAATAAAAACCTTAGAAAGACCTACTCATGAGAGAAGGGCAGGGACCTCGCTGAGCCTGGGCAACTTGGAGCTGCTGGATCGGTGCGAGATGGCGGAGGTGGAGGAAACACTCAAGAGACTTCAGAGCCAGAAAGGAGTGCAGGGAATCATCGTGGTGAACACTGAAGGCATTCCCATCAAGAGCACCATGGACAACCCTACTACTACACAATATGCCAACCTCATGCACAACTTCATCTTGAAGGCACAGAGCACTGTGCATGAAATTGACCCCCAGAATGACCTAACCTTCCTTCGAATTTGCTCCAAGAAAAATGAAATTATGGTTGCACCAGATAAAGACTATTTCCTGATTGTGATCCAGAATCCAACCGAATAAACCACCATCTCGGCTTCCTATGTCATTCCTTAATTTAATGTCCCCCAGAATAAGTGTTAATCATGTCAGTGGGCATATGGTGGTTGCCTGAGAGCCCATGTAGACCATGCCATTGATCAAAGGTAGCTCTGCCCACCCCAACAAGGAATGTCTCTGGCATCCAGTCAGTTCCTGGGAATGCTTGGATCTCATTTCCAGGCTTCGGGAGTAAGAGCTTATGATAAGCCCACACCCAGCTTCCTTCTGACCTTCAGTTCACTTTGTCACCTTTGGAAAGCCTGCTTTTTTCTTTTACTAAAAATAACTTCAAAACAAAACAAAAAAAAAACAAAAAAAAAGACCTACTCATGAAAGTAAGAAAAATACTCAGACACAGACAGAGCAGAATGTACTGCACCATTGGATTATGAAACTGAAGAGGAGTGGTCTAAGGTTATTAGAAAACCAACCTTAATTTGTCCAGTTGCCACACAAGAGCAACCACCAGACAATAGGCACCCCCAATGCAATGCCGAAGTTAACTGGGATTCTGTTTCAATGTTAGACTTGAAGAGATTTAAGGAAGCAGTCATTTCATATGCTATGCATTCACTCTCTGTGAAGCAGATGTTAAATTCATGGGCAACTCAGAACAGAATTAGTCCTCAAAACTGGAAAGATTTAGCTACAGCAATATTGGTCCTCAATTACAGTAGAAAACATGGTGGAGAGAGGAAGCTAAGATCACAGAACAACAAAGTAGGGCTAGAGGTACTGAAATTTCCCAAAACCAGCTTCTTGATGACGGTATGTTGATTTCCAAAGACAGTTTACATTTGATGATAATACCTTGGCTCTATGCCATATTCAGGAGTTAGACAAATATTAATTGAATATTTGGATTTTGAAAATCCTAATTCACAATGCAAAAGGGTTATTAGGCCCTTAAAGGCAAGATCAGTACCCATAGATAAATGAACCCAAAATACAGTTGATATTGGATCTCACACTTATGATGATACTTAGGAGAAATGATTTCTAAAAATTTCAAGAAAAATCAAAATGTCAGATGTTTTAATTGTGGTAAACAAGGTCATTTGAAAAGGTATTATAGGTAAAATGTTCCTAGAAACAATTTTTTTCTAGAGATAATTCAAACAGGAAGTGTAACAAAGGCCAGCATTGGACTAATGAATGCAGATCAACAAGGGACAGGTAAGATAACCCTTTGCTATTGGGAAATGCCCTGAGGGGCATCCAGAAAGCCCCTTCATCAAATTTGGTTCAGTCATTCCCTATCAGCATTGGAGAAACTCATCCACAGAGCAATTAAAAAACTTAATACCTGTTGTTAAAAACCACACTGCTCTGGATGTGAACAAAGACAGAACATCTTCAATAGAGACAACAAAAAGCTCAGGAGAGACCATAAAACAAGTATTTTGGCAAACTGCCATAAAAGAACTAAAAATAAATGGCATTGAAAATGAGGGTTTCATAGACACAGGTGCAGATATAACAATAATTTCACCAAAATCTTATCATCGAGTTGGCCTCTTCAGGAAGTAAATGATCAACTTCTAGGGATTGGATCTTTATCTCAGTTAAATCAAAGTGAAAGATGGGTCGAGTGTATAGGACGGGAAAATTAAAATCATATGTGGCTAATATATCAATGAATTTATGAGGACGTGATTTGTTGCAGTAATGGAAAACACAGATTAACATTCCTCCAATCTCAGAAACAAATCATAAAGAATGCTTCTGAGAGAAATATTAAAAGGTATTATGGAGAACAGCCACAGACTGTTCAGGTTGTACATGAGCAGGGTACAACAGCTGCTGATCTTTCAAAAACACCAACAGCCCTACCTTTAAAATGGTTAACTGACAAACCTGTGTGGATGGAGCAATGGCCTCTGACATCAAAAAAATTACAGGCACTAAAACAGCTGGTACAGGATCAGTTAAATGTTTGACATATTGAAAAATTGACCAATCCTTGAAATTTTCTTATATTTGTAATTAAAAAGAAATCTGGAAAATGGAGAATGTTATCAGATTTAAGTGGTGATTCAATTCAGTCAATGGGATCTTTAAAGCCTGGAGTTCCCTTGCCTTTTTTATTACCTAAGAGAGGGTCTATTATATTGATTGATTTTAAAAACTGCTTTATTTTCACAGTATCTTTACAAGAACAGGATAGAAAAAAATTTGTCTTTACAGTACCTACTTATAATAATTCTAGCCTGTTAAAATGTACCATTGTAAAATTCTTCCACAAAGAATGCTAAACAGCTCCACCTTATTTCAATATTTTGTATAACAGCCATTAGAACTAATTTGTAAACAGTTTCCTCAATCTATAATTTATTATTATATTGATGATATATTACTGGCTGATTCAGATGCAAATACTTTAGAAAAAATGTTTGATGAAGTAAAGAAAATTTTGTCTTGTTGGGGATTACCAATTACTCCTGAAAAAATACAAAGAAGAGAGTCTATTAATTATTTAGGATAAGATAGATTTACAGAAAATTCAACCACAGAAAGTCCAAGTCAGGAGAGATTGATTATAAACTCTAAATGATTTTCAAAAATTGCTAGCTTCTCTATGGCTAATTCTGGCCAGCTAATCACTGTTTCTGCCCCTGATTCAAGGTAAATTTTATTGGCAGTCTGAAGAGTCACAGAGTGATCAAAATTGGCCATAATAGGCAATCAAGGGCCAGACTAAGTAAGACTACTTTTCTTGAACAGATGTCTGCTCCCTACAGTTCATCCAAGGAATTGGTAAATTTCCTCGAGAATGAAAAATATGGAAAGATACATACAGATGCATAAAAATATTTTTCATTTCATTTAAATTACCCACAAGATACCTCTGGAATTCATCACAGTTCAAATCATGGAATTTCCACAGCTTTATGTGCTTTTCTGGCAGAAACTGTGTTCTGCTTCCAAAAGTAATCACTACCCTACCTTGGAAGACATTTCATTCTTGTTATTTTTCATGTGTTCTCTATTTCAGAGTCTAAACAAGATAGTTTAGCTTATTACTGAACTGTGGGTAATTCGATAGTTTGTATACAGACTCTCAATCTTCTGTATCTTAGCCTTGATGTGATGACTCAGTTTGTATACTCTGCCATGGGTGGCATCTCTCCCAGTCAAGAGGCGTCTGGTTGTTTGAAGGTGACAACTGTCATAACCATGCATAAGTTTGATGCTTTCCTGGTTACTGATGAAGTGAATTGCTTTTCTCTAGTTTTTGGCTATTAGTTTCTCTTTGAAACAATCTATCTAAGTCTCTAAAATGTTTTTTTTTTTGTGTGTGTGTGTGTGTGTAGAGGTAAGAGGACAATTTTGGGGAGTCAGTTCTCCTTCCATCATGTGAGTCCCAGGGATGAAGCTCAGGTTATCAGACTTGTGCTTTTACCTATTACCAGCCCTTTGTCTAAGTTTTTTGTTTCTTCTTAGTGACTTAAAGAACATCTTGATCTATTGTGGGTATAAGCCTGTAACCCATACCTCCCCCTTTCTGTCTCTTTCTTATGGAACTGGATCCCTTTTCTAGTTCTAATATTGCTGAAAAACACATTCTTTCCCTCCCTGATTTTGCTTATTTTAGTTTCAGCTATGTTTAGGGAAAGCCTGAAAATTCCACCACAAGTCAATATGTATGCTTTATTGTTTTGATAAGTTGTAAAGGACTTTTTGTTCAATTAAGGGCTTTAGTTGAGAGTTGCTTGATGAGCACATTAAATTATTTTAAGTTATAAAATCTATGAATGATAATGTTTCAATTCTTCAGGATCGCCTCAAGGAACTGGAGCAAGAAGCCCATTTTGTTGCAGGAGAACAGTTTCTTATAATGAGTAATAATCAGCTTCGTGAGGTAAGACTCAATTTTATTTGTTTGTTTTGAGACAGGGTCTCATTCTGTAGCCCACACTTACTCAGTAATCTAGACTGTAATCATGACTCCAACCCATGTCAGTCCTCTTGCCCCGTCTTCCAAAGTACTGAGATTAATGCCAAGGACAACCATACCTGGCTGGTAATGTTAAGTTTTGTCCTTTCAAAACATTGTCTTACTCACGAATTAAAAGATGGTTTATTCTGAGTTTATAATATTGTCTAAAAGTGATGTTATTTATGTTCTCACAAGTATGAACATTTTGTGATACATTAAGTAAAAGTCCTTCTAAAGGAGCTAAGCCTCTTTTCAGTGTATGTCTTCAGGCCAGTGGCTCTAAATGTAATGGTTATGTTCATTTTCTCAAATCTGAATCTTTCTCACACATGTGTATTGCTTTTGTTGAAGATCCTCTTTGGCAAGTTGAAGCTGCACCTGTTGAGTCAGAGGCAGCATCTTCCCAGAACTGGGCTACAGAAACAGCTGTCCACATCAGAGGCCATGGTAAGAGTCCAGCTTATCTTTCTAACATGCTCATGTATCTACACAAGGTACAAGCTTTCTTCTGTGCTGGCAGCAGACCCTTTAGATACGGTGATCCCATCCAAGGTTATGTTCCTGGCTGTGCACTAAGAGATGGGCAGGTAGCTGCCCTCCAGGAACGTATGATTGGCTATATTTCTGGAAAAGGATAATTTGATGCAATTTTGCTCTTTTTAAGAGTGTGTGTTGTGTATTTATGCATGTTAGAGTGTATGTGTGTGTGAGAGAGTGTGTATGTGTGTTTGTGTGTGTACATATTTGTGTGTCTGTACAGATGACTGTAGGTGCCTATAGAAGACTGGAGAGAAAGTTGGATCTAATGGAACTGAAGTTTCAGGCAATTGTGAACCACTCAATGTGGGTGCTAGAAACTAAACTTAAGTCCCTTGTGAGAGCAGCAGTCACTCTTACCCACAGAGGCATCCATCACTTTAGTTTCTGAATCTGACTCTACATAGCTTCTGGGGGCTCTAACTCAGGTTGTTAGGCTTGTGTAACAAGCACTTTCAGCCATTCAGGTAACTCCTTGGCCCAGTTTTGCTTTTTGTTTTATTGTTGTTTTTAGTTCAAGAACAATTTTGCTAGTGTTTAGAAGAAAACAGAGCAGAAATCTCAGAAGCTGGCAGAAGAAGGGGGCCAAAGAAGAGGAAGAGAGAAAACCATGGCTTTTTTAAAAAATTTATTTATATATTAAGGATTTCTACCTCCTCCCCACCACCGCCTCCCATTTCCATCTCCCTCCCCCGATCAAGTCCCTCTCCCTCAGCAGCTCAAAGAGCAATCAGAGTTCCCTGACCTGTGGGAAGTCCAAGGACCGCCCACCTCCATCCAGG